AGGATCGTTGATTTAATGGCTTCCTGAAGCCCGAGTTTCATAAAGAGCAAGAATTTTTTAAAGGGACAGATGCCCAATTACAAAATAAAATTTATTTTAAGTCATATTTAACAGAAAACATTTTTATAGCAACTGATGTTAACGTAGTTACTTGATTATCCTATAAAACGGCACTGTGTACCTGGAAAAATACTTAATACTGCCCCTACTGACCCTTTGTAATACGTCACAATCACTTGAGGTAGCATGATGGACGTTGGAAGTGGGGGGCGGGGAGTATTGAACAGAGCTACTGAAATTGTTTTCCAAAGTTGTTTTTGTCAGTTTAGCCATGGCTTCTACTTGTTCGAGTCGAACTAATTTCTGAACGTAACACACCTGGTTGGGGCTCATAGACGGCGGTATTTACAAAAGTTTGAAATAGTTAGCTTAGAAACCGACCCATACCCCTTCCTCCTTACATGTTGATGAAATTGCCGACTACTAATGGTTAGACGCGTACCTTCTCCATAATGCAATATCTAACTTATAAAGTATATGAAACTTAACCGTCTTACCTTGCAAAAAGCGTTTGCCGCAGATCCGCGGTTCCACCGAGGGCTGTCAGTCATTATGATTGAGGGTTGCTATCCATCGCCAACGTAACTTTCTGCCTTAAAAGTTATACAATAAAATTACAAGTTTGGTTTCAGTCCTTGCCTGTTTACATCCGACAGCGCAGAGCCCTATTGTCATTTTTAAAATTAAACTAACTAAATAAAAGCGATATTAGGCTGCCAGATATCTGTTTTTTGACTAGTTTTAAAGGAGCGCATTGGTTGTTTTGACGTCAGTCATGATGGTGGAGGTCTGAAGAGCGTGGCGTCACTTGCAAAGAGTCAATAAAAGTGCATAGATATAAAGTAGTAAGCTTATAAAAAGATTTCCAAATGAAGATTGTCTGAAATTCGCATATTTAATTTTTTCATTTTTCTGATGAAAAGCATGAGAAAGCGAAATCCATCTCCGGTTACATCACAGAAATATTGAATAGGCTGCTGATTTCAATGGGATGTCCCCAGAGAGAGCAGGCAGACAACACTCCTTTTCTCCTGAGTACTTGATTAACTCTGTCTTGTTCCGGGTGTGCTTTAGCATATGTATGATCTATTAGGTTTGATTATTTGAGCCGTTCGCTTTGGGGCGCGGTGGGTCTCAGCGCACGGATCTCCTCCTTGAAGGAAACCGCGTCTTTTTAAGCATTTAAGACAGGTTTACGGCAGACCCCAGGTCAGCTCTGCTGCTCTGTCGCAGTAGAGGTTGGAATATAGTGGCTCGTTTATTAGTACAGACAAAACCTCCACTGTTCTGAGCACATCTGTCATCGCAGCCTGTCAGCACTTCTCGACTTGTCCCCCAATACACACACACACACACACACACACGCAAGTTCTCACACTCCTCATTACCAACTTCTATTTTTTCCCTTCCTCATTTATATTCTTTTTCCCCACTTCCTCCATCCACCCCAACTCAAATTTTGTCCCCAATCCACCCGAATATCTTCCCTTTTTCTCCTCTTTCGTTCCCCCTTTGGCTCCCTTCTTGGAGCTAAGTGCAGTGATTAGGTTTCACTTTCTAGCATTTTTTGTGAGTGTGAATGCGTGCGTTTGCAGGTAAAATCCCTTCCCTGTTCCCTCTGAACAGAGATCAGTGTAGACTATCTAGTCGAGGACAGACGTTTTTGTTCGTTTCCTATTTGCTGAATAGAGTGAGAGTGAAATGTGGCTCTTGTGCGTTTTGTGCCTATCCCACGGCAAGCTCAGGCCTCTCGCAGCCTGTAGTCATGTTACTCAGGATGGGAGGTCAAGGGTCAAAGCCAATGAGCCATCAGATACAGAGGAGGCTGTGTTCTGACTGAGCAGCTGCTCCACGTTCTTCGATGTAAAACATCCACCTCTAGGTGTTGTTTTGACATGGCGGCATTCCTGCTCCGACGTAAACGCTACGTGACGAAGCCCCCCGTTTATAAAACAGTTTGATTGAAATGGGATTGAAAGCGGTGTTTTAATCTGCAGATCAACGTAGTGATAGCGTGCATTATGAGATTGAACTATAGGACATTCCGTAAAGCAATCATCATTGCTCTGCGTATATCTGCCCCTCTCAAGCTCACTTTCTGAGAGGCTTAATCCGGTGTGCTTTCAACGGTTGAACGAAATGATTTCTCCCCTTTAAAGTTGACTTCTGTTTTATATTTTGTTGTTGTTTTTTTGTCACACCTAATTGTTTCAGATCTTCAAAAACAATTTTACTGAAATAAAAACATATTGTAACAAACGAGAAATTGATCCAAAGGTAAGTGACTAAATCCACCTTTCGTATCAAGTATTCCCGTCAGCTGCCAGTCAGCTGGCATGTTTTAATTCAGCCACATTGCAGGATTTTTCGAACAACTTAATCAGATTTAAGTTGACTTGGCCACTCCTTTGACTCGTCCAGATGCAGACTTCCTGGTCTAACCCCCATCATTTTGCTTGTGCTAGGCTTAAGATTACACCAAGTCACCACGACCCAAAGAAGCAAAGCATGACCACCCGGATGAGTTGGTGTTGCGCTCTTGGAATTATAACGAAAAGCAAAAGAGCTCTGAACTTTGAGAATACAGTTTAAAAATGTTCTTACTGCAAATGTACACTCCAAGAAAAAGTAACAGCTAGTAATCTTAGTGGAGCTGCACGGCTCTGGAAACTCATTTTAAAGTAGCCTAACTACAAAGATTAAGCTTTAAAAGTCTACTTGCTTTGCCAAAAACTATTTTTGACAACAAATTAAATCATTGTGTCAAAAAATGAGAACATTATGTACTCACTCACCTTTTCCGTTTCCAGCTGCTGCAGTGCATTTTGGGATACAGCGATAACCAATCCGCAATGTCACATTATATCCTTACATATTACTTCAAATGAACTAAAGTCAATGTTGTAACTTCACAATACACCCAAAAGTTTACTGAATTAGTGAAACTCTGACCAAAATTGAGTTGTATCCACTCATCTTTTTCAGTTATATACAATGTTACAATATATATACAGTATATACAATTTCCACCAGCTAATCTAAAATGTAAAGAATGGATAAACTCTCTATAATACTGTTTGTTTGAAAGTTGTTTAAGTTAATTTGAGGTTCCAGTCAACATGTTATATTGCTTCCTGTCCTGGGTTTTAAAGTGACTTTCCACTGAACTTCCTGCCCCTGAAGTGTTTTTGTTTACTTTCCATAAATTCTATTTAACTTATTAGTAGTTTCCTGTCCATTTAGTCCAGTTTTTGGACTGTTTCTCCAACCTTGTACCACTTGAATCCAGGGAAGATATGAGATACGTTTACTGTTTCTCTGTGTCTACATGTGAAGCAACCTAAGCACAGGCTTATCTGAAGAAACAGACTGAAAGAGAAGCCTCCACCTGCAGAGCTCTGTACGGTAACGTTGAGTGTGATGGCAGAATATCTATTAAGTCAGTAGAGATTTTAAGATGCGGCTCCGTTTCACTGTGAATTCCTTTAATTAAGCGAATGAAGGTATCGGAGGCATTCCTTTTGAAGATTAAAAACCAGTTCTGCACAGATCCAAAGGCGTCTTTGATATTTCCAGCCGTTTGATGAAAGGCATGCAAACTAGTTACGCTTTTCAGCCGACGGAAACTCGGAGGATGCAGCAATGAATGGGTTTTGTTTATATTGTGACCAGCTGCAAAATATTCACTTCCTGCTTTTATTAATGGTGCAAGACGAGAGACACGGGATTAGATTGATCTGTATCTTTATTTGTGTAGCCCTTGAGAGATGTCTGATGACATTTTCTTCACTCTTCCACCAGTGATGTCTTTCTTCCCTTTTTACATAAACCATTCTCTTTGAAAAAAATTATGCAGTTTATCTATTCTCCTTTCAGTAGAACATATATTATTCCATCGATTAAATCAAGAAGGCAAGCCAGGCCCCAGAAAATCTGAAGAAGTAGAAAACAAAAATCAGTGACGGATTTCTTAAAAGACAACACAAGAGCAAATTTAAAATCTTTCAACCTATCCTTGTGATTATGAATATCGCTATATTGCTTCTGATTATGATTTATTTAATAAAACCCATGTTAAATACATATCCAGTGTGTTTAAAAAACACCTTATTTTCAAGTGAATTCAAACTGGAAGTGTCAGATGGATGCTGTTAATTAAATACAATTTTAACTGATCATCAGCTAATCTGTTCAGATTTTTTTAAACTGTTTTTTTCAACCATGATCTCAGAAAAAGTTGCTGTTATTATAAAGACATTGTTTGTTTTGGGGTTTCTCTTTTCTTTTTTGTCTTTTTTGAACATTTGGCTAGTCTGGAGCATACGTGCATTTTAACACAATGCTATGTAAGAAAGCCACCACTAATGACTTCAAAGAAGAAACTGTTACCACATATTAGCCTCTTCTTTTTTTTTCTTTTTTTTAGAAGAAGAAATAGGTTGTCTGGAGGTTTTGCAAGGGCTTTGAAAAAATTTCTTTGTTTTTTGCACTATTGTCTATTCTGAAGAATTAAGGTAAGTACTAGCACAAGCTAACTCTAAGGCTAAAAAGTAATCGGAAATGACCTTTCAGAAGCTGTTCTTGTATGTTTATGAAAAATGTTACTTTTTATTTTTGCTTAAATATTAATTTCTGACACAACGCCCGCACTCTTCCTTGAAAAGGTGAGTGTGGAAGCATATGGCATCTGAAAACAGCTTCCCAGGGTGAGCAAAACTTTATAGAGGTTTTGCTACATTGAAAACTCATGACATCACCGTCTGGGTTTTCCCCAACTTGTTTAAGTGTTATCATTTTGATTCCTAAGGAACTAGTAAAAAAAATAATCTCTCTTCAATTACTAGGGAAATTTATAACACTAAAGGTGGAATGTTTTTGTGCAGTGTCAGTAAACATCTGATCTTTGCAGTAACACCGAATCGACGCCTGGTGGAAGCAATGTGCGCGGACGTCTCTCTGACGTCACAAACATGGCGGCGCCCGTTAGCTTGGCCGGTAGGGTCATTTCCGTTTCCAGAAAACTCGGCGGTTTTCTGATTAATTCAGTGTTTATTGCTCAGGCGGGGACAGTGGTCCACAACATGGACACGGAAAGACCAGCCAAGGTTCGACAGCGATGCTCATCACTCTTCTGTTGTTTCGTCTTCTGTTGTTTCGTAACATTTACTACTTGAGACATAAAACGTGCCTTTGCTTATAATGCGCAGTCGAGATTAAACTTCTTCATTTTGGTGCCGTTGTGTTGCGCAGCTGCAACCGTCATGCTCATACAGCCGCCGATACAGATAATAATGTCTGCTGTTACGTTTCTCCTCCACAGCTGGAGTTTGCAGTTCAGATGACATGTGAAAGCTGTGCGGAGAAAGTTAGAGCCGCTCTGGAGGGTAAACCAGGTGAGGAAGCTCAAACTGTGAAACTTACTGTTGATTTTTTTTCTTTTCTTTTAATCCTGTTTGTGCAATTCTATTATTTCAACACCTCCAGTGTTTGTGACTGATAGCTTTTTGTGCCTACCAAAGAAAATTTGCTCAAAGAACTCTGTGCACAGGAAAGCCGGACTGGTTTCATAGTTGTTTTTGATGCGAGTCGGTTTTATACAAAGCATTTTTTGCATTTCCAAACCAAAAGAATAAAATAAATTCCAAGTGCTATAAGTATTTTTGCATGCCGACTAAAAAACATATGACACGAAGCAAAAAAAAAAAAAAAAAAAAAAAAAATTTGGGAAAATTTTTTTTTTAATTTAAATTAAAAAGAAAAATTGGGGAC